CCAGGACAGAGATAAATGGAAGGAGATTGTACGTGGCCTATACCCTAGTGCCAGTGGTGAAAGGCATTGATGAAGAAGTTAACAGACACACAAACAGACAGAAAGGCAACCGTAATATTTCACAGAAGGGAGATGCCACAGTGTCACCATGTTTTGAAATAATGACGTGTATTGATTGGGGAATTTTTAGGAATCGATCACAGAATGTTACCAAAGATCGTAAACAACAAGATAGTTCAGTCAGTCAAATAAAGTGTCCGCTGAAGTCCGCGCATTGGTTCAGATGGCGCTGCAGTCGCTCTTTTGAAGCTCTCTTTCGTTTCTCCAGAAGAGGAATAGGAATAGCACAATTAGTTAGTTTCACTTTTATTGTTTTTCAAACAAATAAGGTGCTCTGATCGCAAAATCCGCACTTTTTCGAAGAGGGCGCTACCGTATTTTGAGGGCACTTTTTAATTGGCTCAAAGAGAGGAGTGAACTATCTTGTTATGTACGATCTTTGATGTTACAGGCGTTGCTTGAAGGATCGATATTGACGTTTTGTTTCGTGTTGTAAATGTTTTTCGTCTAGCCGACAGTTGTGACCTGTGCGAGCCTCAGAATGTGTCGACCATATTTTTTTTCTTTCTGAGTAGGCCCTACCACTAGTACCAGCATGGGCTGTGCAGGAGAAAGGTTTAAAGACAGAAATAATCCACGAGTATCGTTCCTCCATGAGGAATTGAACTCCTGTCTTTTCTAAGCAATGATATGAGACTAAATAACATTGCTATCACCGAGCTGAAATGCCCCCCTTTATAACCCCCCCCTCTCATTGCCCCCAACCTCCCCGCCGTTCCTACAACATGACAACAGTTTGAAATGAAACGGCTCATCATCACAAAGTTATTTGCTTATTGAGAGCTGTTGTGTATCCGAATACTTAAGTAACAGATATCCACCCGTGTCATTTTATCTAATAAAAACACTACCATGAAGAAATGAAAAGCAACGCATTTTTTTAAAGCGATGTTGCAAACTTTCAATAATTGTTTTTTTAAGAATAATTTGTGATGTGGTTCATACAATGAAAAAACAAAACAAAAACAGACCATATTATTATTACAGTGCATGTAAGAATCTGTGTGTTTCTTAGTTGACGTTATGATCGGTACTGAGTTTTATTTTCTAACTACACCTCAGGTAAGTAAAGAAACTGTCAGGTGCTTTCAGAAGAGGGAAAGAGAGAAAGAGAGAGAGAGAGAGAGAGAGAGAGAGAGAGAGAGAGAGAGAGAGAGAGAGAGGGGGGAAAGGAGAGACTTTGTTTGAGTTCATTTGTATGTGAGTGTGTGTGTGTGTGTGTGTGTGTGTGTGTGTGTGTGTGTGTGTTTGTGTGGGGGGGTTGAGAGAGAGAGAAAGAGAGAGAGAGACAGAGAGAGAGAGAGAGAGAGAGAGAGAGAGGGGGGGCGGAGAGCCAAGGCCAGGGTGTCTGTGTTTCACACACTGTACAGTTTCACCCATTCTCTCTCTCTCTTTTTCTCTCTCTCTCTCTCTCTCTCTCTCTCTCTCTCTCTCTCTCTCTCTCTTTCCCTCTCTCTGTATCTGTCTTCAACCTGCTTTTCTCTCTCTCCACCATTCCACCCCCTTTTTCTCTTTTGTCTTTTAGTCTTATACTCGCCCTACCACACAAAACTACACCCACACGCCCACACACCCACACGCTTAGACACACACACATACACACACACATAAATACACACTCATACACACACATACACACATACACAGACTCATACACACTCAAACAGCAAACATGCACACATGCCCTCTCCCCCCCCCCCATTCTCTTCCCCCAAAGAACAAACTTCTTCCCCCTCCCCTTCTACCTTCCACCGCCTCATCTCATCCTCGTCATAAAACCTGGGAAATGAAGACAGCCTTCACAATTATAGATCAACGACAATCACATTCTGTGGGAATTTCCCTTCTTGGAAGTCATCCCGGAGAATTCTCCCTCGCTTGGCGTGGCGTGGAGACACAGCAATTAGTCCCCCCCCCCCCTCCCCTCCGATCTCTACCCAATCGTTCTGGCGGATGATAATATCGCTCCCCCCCCAAAGCCTTCTTAGGGGGTTCTCAAGGGGGGTGAAGACCGTGGGTGGGGACCAACAAGAGTTTATGCACCTGGTATCCACCTATTTTTTCGATTTCTATTCGTTTTCGATTCATTCAAATTCGCGTCTAATTGCACAAACAAATTCGATTTTTCCCGCTCTTGAGGGGGCAAAAGGTCTCTGTGGCGGGCACTAATCTGTTTAGACAAGGGGCCTTCTCGGCGCGCGCTTTTGCATAACCCGATTTAGCTGTTGGGAGATCTGGACGAGTCACGTGACCCGAAGTGAGGCCTGACACCGACACGCCCACCTGTCAATCATGTAAGGGAGAGGGGAGGAGAGAGAGAGAGAGAGAGAGAGAGAGAGAGAGAGAGAGAGAGAGAGAGAGACGGCAAGACCCCTTAGAGAAACGCCAGAAACCTGTCATGGTTCATGTCAGGCTGAGGTTTAAAAAAAAATTCTGGGTTTTTTTATTTTTTAGTGACAAACAAATGGTAAGAAACGAAATGATATTTTCTTAAAAAGCGAGAGATGTCTTATTTCTTCTCTCTCTCTCATTTTGTTCTAGGAAATATTAAAAAAAGGGTGGGTTGTGCGTGGAGTTTGATGTAGGCCTACCTAGAAAAGTGCTGACTTCAGCTGTAACGATTTTAAAACCGCCTTTTTGTGTCTTGTCTTGTCGAATGTAAAACAACTTACAAGCAATCATACCCCCCTCCTCTAAAGAACAGCAAAATACCCCAAAGCAACGAGTGTTTGGACCATGTTATAGAAAGAGAAACGAATCTAGGGAATACGAGCTCGAGTGCGGAGCGCAGTCCTCCCCCCCAGGCAGTGTTATTGGCTGAGGTGTCTTTAGTTCATTCCCAAAGGGGGGATATTAACATGTTCTTTTGCACAGTAGAATTGTAAAGAGGCTGATTTATCAACGCCATGCTCATACTGTGCCGGTGTTACACTATCGTCATTTTTCATCTACTTCTTTCATTGTATGTTTGTCACTCTCTTGTGAACTGCTATTTCCGGAGTGCCTTGATAGTCGAAGCAGACTTTGTGCTGTTCAGGCTAGAGAGGCGAGCAGAGTAAGCCTGATTCCCCGTTTAGACTTCTCTGTTGACATCCACCCTTTGGCACTAACAATAATATAACCTTATGCAGTTGCGAGCGTCGCAAAACCTTACTAGAAAACAAAGAGCGCAGTTCCAGCCACTGCCCGCCTTGTTCGTTTCTTTACGAGATATAGTTGATGTCGACAGCGGCGGTGGGTGGACCAAAATTTAGGTGGAGTTTAGGTTGCTTCCACTTCTTTACCACCAAATAAATAGCAAGCAATAAGAACAAAACGGTGATGATTTTTCTATACTCACTCTGAACCACAGCATTTTGAGAATCATTCAAACGAGAAGAGTCACCTGTCTTCCATCTCTTTGTTCTACGTTAAATTCTTCTGGATGGTGGAGACGAAGCCGTTTCACCTCCAAATTTCTAATTCTCTAATTAATTTTCCTCTGATGAAAAAGTTACCTGAAGAGTGGTTTGATGTAATACATAACTATTAAATCTCAGCGGCAAACACACAAACATGCACACACAGCACTCCAAACATATACAGTATATGAGCTGGATTAGGCCGTGCAGTCGCGGGAAGTAGAACGCACATAACAAAGGTTTAATGGGTGCATAGGTAACTGTGTCTCAGGGGGAAAGTGTGTCGTAAACTTTCACCCCATTGTCAGGGCGAGGAGAGCGTGAGCCCTCTGCGCAGTGTTATTTTTTTCTCAATTCTTCTACCTTTTTACACTAGGGTTTTCATTAAGGAGGTCTGTGGGAAAAGGTTCATCCTTTTCTGAGCCCTAAAGACATTTGATTGGCTGTAAGGTTACTATAGTTGTAAGCGGTGACAACAGTGATTTGGTAAACGAGAAAGCCACCAAGCTGATTACTCTATGCTCGTTGCGTGCGGTCATAACTGTTTCAACTGCTTATTTCGTTATTTTCATTTGCTTTGGGATAGAGTTGGGGGGGGGGGGGGGGGGGTTCAAGCCCTTGAGCCCTTCATTACCCATCGCCACTGGATGTCAATATGAATGATGTACAGCTGGACTCGGGACTAATTAATTGCCACCTCAGAATAACAAGGTTCCAACTGGGAGTTTTTAGAGTTTGGAATTAGAGTAACTGGGTCCTTTCCATGTGCTCTCTCTATATCATAAGTAAAGTTAGAACTTTCATTCCTTTATGGAAATTTTAAAAAATATTATGTTGCTTTCGTTTTTAACTTAAGAAGATTGTTTGAGAAATCGTTTTCCTAAAATATACATAAAGTGTGTGTTACTGAGATAGATCCTTGTCATTCTGGGATCGCGAAATAACGAATCCTCACTCCTCCCTGTCGAGTCGTATTAGTCTGCTCCCGACAAGGTTTGCCAGCTCTGGAGATAGCAAAAGGGGAACGTGGCTCCTAGAGGAAGGGACGTAAGTAGGAAATACAGATCAATATTATTATAATATCAAGAGTCTATCGCAAAATAATAATTTTACTTCTTTTTCCCCCTCTTTTCTGCATTCACCAGCAATAATCTCAAGCCACTACGTATTTGTTTACTTTTGACACAGAGAGTGTCATAGAGTCATTCCTTTTTGTTATGGATGTTTTGCGCCTCATTGATACAGCTCAACTAATTTAAGAGGCGGGCTGCTTCAACCTTTCCTGTCAGGACCAACCAATCAAACAGACGTAAAAACTCAATAAAAAGATTATCTCACGAGAGTGTGAACATGTGTGTGTGTGTGTGTGTGTGTGTGTGTGTGTGTGTGTGTGGGAGGGGGGGGCGTGTGTGTGTGTGTGTGTGTGTGTGTGTGTGTGTGTGTGTGTGTGTGTGTGTGGGCGTGTGTCTGTGTGTGTGTGTATGTTTGTGTGTGTTTGTGTGTGTGCGTGCGTGCGGGTACACATTTTATAGAATGCATGTTGATACCTGCATTTTAAAGTTTCAGAAAAAGAAAACACATAATCTAAAAAAATATATATGCGCAACAAAGTTGTACCCTAAAACAGCATACGTTTTATCTTCAAGTAAAGGCCAAATGAACAGAATGCCTGTCACCAGTGAGTTAATCCTTGCACCTACACGTGAGCTGGCGTTTAATGGCGGTCCGGAACTGTCTGTTGTACAAAGAATACACGAAAAAATTCACGCCGGAGTTGGCGAAGCAGAAGAGAAGGAGGGGGCTGATTGTTGTCGAGTCCAGTGGGTAAACCATGTTGACCTGGACAGCTAGTATTGTGGGCGTCCAACACAGGAGGAACAGGCCGAACACCACGGCCATCTGTTTGAGCCAGCGTAGGTTGGACACAGACAGTGCCGTGGTCCTGGCCTCTAGGTCTCTCACTGTCCTGGCGGTCTCAGCGGTTCGTAAGACATTCCCACTGGGGAAATTACTGTGTGTGGCCGGAGTCTTAGTGTAACTTTGAGAGTCAATTGAGAATGATATATGATTTTTGCCAATAGATGAGCCACAAGGCGCCCTGTGCTCATTTTTGGACGCGTTGTTTGTTAGATTTTCATTAGTGACCTTCATTTCATTGGACATTTCCTCTGACAGTATAGACATTTTGCTTGAATAATCGAGTTTCTCTGTAGAACTGCCATTGCCACAAGGAGAACGGTTTATGGAAAACAAAATATTGATTTCATCCAGATCCTTTGACCGCTCTGCTCTTTCATCATGAAGTGTAATGGCTGACTCTATGCCTAGTTCATAAAAACCTGGCTGACCGACACTGGCGCCGTTATGGTTACCAATGGTAGTCTCACCATCAACAGTTGTACTGCGGGTGTGATGTAACCACAATGGGGCTGTTGTAGCATCTGTACTCATCTGGTGAACTTTTATACCGTTTGCATTTTCATTGCTGTTTGGCAAAGGGAAGCCGCTTTTTCTTGGATATTTAACACGGTCACCGAGAAAAGTATTCTGCTCTCTAGGTTTATCGCCTATGCCTTGTAGAAATCTTTTACTTGCTTCTGAGTCAGAGCTGATCATGTCCCGTCTTAGTGAAAGAAAATCTGTGTCTGGGGATAAAGCTGATTCATGTTTTTCTCTGTTCAAAGAACCTTCGTCGGTTTCAATCAGACCGTTTTCCCTGGAATTCACACAAGTGGAAGAACTCGGAACTCTAGGAAGAATGACGCACCCATTATCCAGAGTAGGTTGGCAAGAATCAGCTTTTGCAGAGTCGAGAGTAGATTTGCTCGGACTCTCTCTCAGATTGGGTTCAGCATTTGTTTCGTCTGTGTCTCTCAAAGGGCTGCCAGAAGAAGCTTGGTCTTTACTCCCCTTTTCCTTGGAATGTACCACGCTCTCAACTACTTGCTCCGAGCAAGTGTCCCGAATAGAATAAAGGTTACGTGCGTCTGACACGTTATCAATGTCTTGTGTAGTTGGCGTCACCCTGACACAGGCGCTGTTGATAGCAGAGTGGAGGGTCACGCCCTTTGTCATGTACTCTTGCTCAGTGTGACGTGTTCCTGTAGCAGTCTTGACGTTGACTGACCCATTGGTCCCCCCGAGCCTGATGGCCATGAAGGATTTGGCCTGCTCGAGACGTCTGCGGCGCCGGTCGCTGTGAGTTTTGGCCACGCGGGCTATGAGGCCGTACAGTACACCAGTCCCCAGCGTACAGAGCAGGTAGAGGACGGTGTACGTTGCGGACACTATCTTGTTCTGCATCGTGTTAAGGATATTGTTGCAGTTCTGTTTGGGGAATGGAGAGAAACCTTTAGTAAAGTTTTAGCAACAGTTTAACGACACTTGCACCACATATTAGGTCATAATATAAGTGTCGACGATTAGAGGTGTTACTAGATAATAACATACACGAAAAAGAAGGAGGAGAGATAATGGCTACTAATGTCTTATAAAAAAGAAGGAGCAAGCCTCAATAGAGCACACGCTAACCAACGAAAATGAACTTTTGGCTTGTGGCATTATACGGTGTGGCGAACTCATCATGTCTTGAAATACAGGAAAGATATTCAAGAAAAAGAGCTCTGATTTTATGTTGAATTCTATTTAACGCGAGTTTAAGAATGCCCATTGGATCAGAGGTCGTTGAAAAAGCACACCAGCAGGGCACATAACGTATTATTGGTCAAATACGTGTAGTATGCACACCCACTGGATTCAAGACGCAGAAATCTGCTGTGCAGCAGACAAACGGGGGAAAGGGGGGG